ACCTTCAAAGCCTTCAGCATGGAAGGAAGATACCTCAAAATAATGAAAGTCATATATAACAAACCCAACACCAACACCATGCTGCGTAGGACGAAGTGAAAAGCATTCCCTCTAAGAAATGGAACAAGACAAGGATGCCCACAGTCAACACTTCTGTTCAGTGTAGCACTGGAACTTCTAACTAGAGCAATCAGGCAAGACAAAGAAAAGAAGGACATCCAAACTAGAAAATAGTAAGTCATACTTACTATCTCTGTTTTCTGATGACATGATCTAATACCAAGAAAAACGTAAGGACTGTCCCCACCAAAAAAAGTCCTAGATTTGATAAATGAATTCAGTGATGTCTCAGGTTATAAAATTAATGTACAAAAATCAGTAGCATTTATATGCAATAACAACAACCAAGTTGAGAAGCAAATCAAGAACTCAATCTCATTTACAATAGCACTACATAATAATAAAATACATAGGAAACTATTTAACCAAGGAGGTGGACAATTCCTACAAGAAGAAATACAAAACTGATGAAAGAAATCACAGATGACACAAACAAATGGACATAAATGTGCTCAAAGGTTGGAAGAATTAGTATTGTTAAAATGGCTACATTGCCTAAAGTAATATATGCAATTCCTATAAAAATGTTAAGGTTGTTTTTCACTGAATTAGAAAAAAACAATCCTAAAATTCATATGGAGCCAACAAAGAGCCCAAATAGCAAAAGCAATCCTAAGGAGAAAAATAAAAACCGAAGGCATCACATTACTTAAATTCAAGTTATACTCTAAGAATATAGTAATCAAAATAGCTTTGTAGGGAATAAAAGTAGACACGCAGATCAGTGGGACAAAATAAACAACCAAGAAATAAAACTATATATGTACAAACAACTTGTCTTCAACAAAGCAGACAAAAAACATACATTTCAGAAAGGTTACCCTATTCAATAAATGGTACTGTATAAAAACAAAGCCATATGTAGCAGAAAGAAGCTGAATGAATCCCTATCTCTCATCATATACAATTAACTTAAGATGCATTAAAAACTTAAATGTAAGACCTGCAACAATAAAAATCCTAGAGAAAATCTCAGAAAAACTTTTCTAGACATTGACCCGGGCAAGGAACTTAAAGCAAATACAATGAAAACAAAAATAGATAAGTGAGACTTAATTAGAAGCTTCTGCACAGCAAAATAAATAATCACAATAGTAAATTGGCAAAGTATGTGGCAGAATCTGCTAGGAACTCAACAACTCGGCAAGAAAAAATTACCCCATTAAGAAGTGGGTAAATGACACAAACGCATTTTTCAAAAGATGACATACAAATGGCAAAAAATAATTGGAAAAATGCTCAACATCATTACTCATCAGTAAAACACAAATTAAAAGCACAACTTTTACTCCAATTAGAATGGTCATTATTTTCAAAAAAATAGATTTTGCTATGGAGATAGTGAAAAAGAGCACTTAAACACTGTTGATGGGAATGTAAAATTATAATAGTACAACCTCTACCTCTATGGAGATAAACATGGAGATTCTCCATAAATCTAAAAGTAGATTTATCATTTGATCTTGCAATCCTACTACTGGGTATCTACCCAAAGGACGAGAAATCATTCTATCTAATGATACCCGCACTTGTATGTTTATAACAGTGTAATTCACAGACGTGTCCATCAACCAATGAGTGGATGAAGAAAATGTGGTATAAACGTCATGGACTACTGCTCAGCAGTAAGAAAGAATGAAATGTGAAATAATGTCTTTTTACAGAAACTTAGATGGACATGGAGGTCATCATGCTAAATGAAGTAATTTAAGAACAAAAAAATAAATGCTACATTTATTTTTGCTCCCCTCACTATGGGAGCTGAACCATGGCTACACAAGTACACACAGTCCAGTATAGTGGACATTGGAGACACAAGGGATGGAGAGTGGGAGGGTGCAAGGGATGAAAAATTATCGATGGAGTACAAGGTACGCTATTTTGGTAACTGATACACGAAAGGCCCAGACTTCACCTGTTTGCAATATATATAAGAGAATCCAACTGTTACTCCTAAATCTATTTAGAAAAATCCAAATAAAAATCTAAAATCTATTTAGAAAAAAAGAAAATGGCATAGTATTTGCATGTAATCATCCTCCCATATACTTTATTTTTTCCCTCTACATTTTTTCATTGTAGAGAGAGGGTCTTGCTCTGTTTTCCAGGGTGAAGTACAGTGGCACACTCAGAGCTCACTGCAACCTGGGCTCAGACGATCCTCCCTACCTCAGCTGCCTGAGTAGCTGGGACTACAGGTGCACACCACCATACCAGGCTACTTTTTAAAAATATTTTGTAAAGATGGGGTCTCACTATGTTGCCAGGCTGATCCCAAACTTTTGGTCTCAAAAGTCCTGGGAGTACAGGCATAAGCCACCTTGCCCAGCCCTCCTATCTATATAGTTTAAATTTTATCTAGATTACTTATAATACTTAATATAATATGTATAAATGCTACGTAAATAGTTGTTATACTTATTGTTTTTTATTTCTATTTTTTTGTACCTGTACTGTTAATTTTTATTAATTTGGTTTTTTCCAAGTATTTTTGATCCATGGTTGGTTGAATCTGGGGATGTGGGACCTGCAGAGGGCCAGCTGTATTTGATAATAATCCTCAAGTACATTGTGCTCAACCTCCTAAGCAATCTACTAGGTTTAAACCTATTTCAGACTCATGTAGCTGTGTGCTGGTCATCAGGATCTGCAGTGTATCTAGGATCCATGTTTTGACCTTTGTATGAAGGTCTACGCGAACTGTCCCCTGCCAATTCTACTGCTATCATTATGTATTGCTGTGTAACAAACCATCCCAAAAATTAATCACTTAAAACAATAGTACTTTGTTTTGCCACTGAATTGTCAGTTTGGGCCAGGCTTGGCAGAAAGACCATCTCCACTTCACAGTGTCAGTTAGGGCAGTTCACCCACTGTGAGGAGGATCTACATCTAAGAAGGCTCCTTTCTGTGACTGAATTATGGATGCCATGTCTCAGACAGAAAAAGTGTAAACCAATGTTCTAGAATCAGTGCGGCATAAATGAATACCCAAAGACCAGCTAGTTAATGTTGGGAGGAAATGAAGTGGAAGCCAAGCCAGGGCATGAGAAGCCCTGTGCTGTCTCCCTGGGGACTCACTCAGGTCTTCCTGGTACTAATGCCAATGGCTCTAGGCACCAATGGTAAGTCCTAGCAAACATCTGGCCCCTGCCGGTAATTCTTCCGGGCTGGTCTTCTCTCCTTTTGATTCCAAACAGAGGCAGAAGGCTCCAGCACAAGAGGTCAGGGCCTCCTCTTGTCATTATCCACACCACTACAGAAAACTGTGCCCTAAGTGATCAGAGCAGGGGAGAAGCAATTGAAATCTTATTTGTTTATGAATGCATGATGTGCTATAGTATATTTTATGTTCTTAATCACGTTTAGCTGAAACTAATCATTAAATTTAATTTTGTTTCCTTCAGTAGACACTATTTGGGTACTAAGGCCAGCCAAGCATGCAGGGGCACACAAAATTGAGAGAAAAGAGAAAATATTTTAATGATCTTTACCACAAATAATCCATCCACTTCCTAATGATCATATTACAAAGAGGTAGCATTACCTATAAATAAATGGGCAACTTCCCTAAGAATTTTTAAATCCCCCAAGTCAGAAATCCTTAAGGAGATGTAGGAAGCTGAGTCATTTAAAATAAAGCAATTTTGTATAATAATTAAGAGCCAAATTCTAATATCAGTCTTTTCACTTACTTAGGACAAGGTTTTTATACTTCTGAGCCACAGTTTCCTACATTTTTTTTTTTTTTTTTTGCAGTTTTTGGCCAGGGCTGGGTTTGAAACCACCACCTCCAGCACATGGGGCAAGCACCCTACTGCTTTGAGCCACAGGAACTGCCCTCCTACAACTGTATTCTTAAAGCCATTTCACTATAACACGACTAGATGCTGGATAAATTAAAGAAAAATTTCAAGCTTTTTGGTACATTATTCCATTCCTGTCCCGTTCTGCGGGACACGGTTATTCGGGGGACGAGGGGGACCCAGCCTGTAAAGAGAATGGGCACGAGAAAGAAGAGGAGGAGGCCAGGCAGATTTCTTGTCAAGGCCTC